CACCTGCTGGCTTAGGCCCGCTCCCTGGGGGATTGGGCCTAAGCTGGCAGTCAGACATCCCTCTGGCAGCCCGGGAGCCCTCGGGGGATGTCTACTTGCCAGCGGGGAGCAGGCCTAAACTGCAGTCAGACATCTTTAGTGCCGCTGAGGAGGCGGGAGAGGCTCCCACCACCACCACTGTACTGGCAGCCATCAGCCTGGCTTGTGGCTGAGCAGAGCTCCCCCTGTGGGAGCACACTGACCACCAGGGGGCAGCTCCTGCATTGAGCGTCTGCCTCCTGGTGGTCAGTGTGTGTCATAGTGACCAGTCATTCCCAGTCTTTCTGCTGTTAGGGTCAGTTTGCATATTACCCTTTTACTACATAGGATAGAGGCCTGGTGCACGGGTGGGGGCCGGCTGGTTTGCCCTGAAGGGTGTCCCAGATCAGGGTGGGGGTCCCGCTGGGGTGCCTGGCCAGCCTGGGTGAGGGGCTGACGGCTGTTTTCAGGCTGGCCACACCCCCTTTAGGGTGGGGGGTCCCCACTGGGGTGCCTGGCCAGTCTGAGAGAGGGGCTGAGGGCCGTTTTCAGGCTGTCCAAGCACCCCCCACCCCCACCCCCCACCCCCGGTGACGGAAGCTCCTAGCCTCTCCTTTTTTTTTTTTTTTTATTCTGGGATTTATTTACCTTCTATAATTGAAACTTTGTAGCCTGGAGTGGAGCTCAGAGCCGGCCAGGGCAGGCGGGAGGGAAGCTTGGCTTCCTCCATCGCCAGGGGCAACCCAAGACTCCAGCTCCGTGGCCACCGCCCGGCCCACTGAAAGCAGAATCTGGGCTTTATTTATCTTCTATAATTGAAACTTTGTTGCTTTGAGTGGAGCTCAGAGCCCCAGTGGCAGGCGGGAAGCTTTGCTTCCTCCATCATTGGGGCAACCAAGCCTCCTGCTTGCTCCAGCTCCCTGGCTGCCGGCCGTCATCTTGGTTGGGTTAATTTGCATATAGTCGCTCTGATTGGTTGGTGGGGTGGCTTAAGGTGTAGTGAAGGTATGGTCAATTTGCATGTTTGTCTTTTATTAGTGTAAATGGTACTAATATAGATCTATCTCCAAGTAAAATAGAGAAAGCAAGATGTAAAACAATGTTTCATATTGTTTGTATATTTATGAAAAATGGGCATACATATGGTTGTAAATGTATAGACCTGCCCTGTTCACTGTGGTAGCCACTAATCTCATATGTGACTATCCAGTGCTTGCAAAGTACATTCCAAGTCCAAGTTGAGATGTGCTGTGAGTATAAAATGTACATTGGGCTTTGAAGACTTGGTACCAGAAAAAAGTATGTAAAATGTATTATAATTTTTATGTTAATATGTTGAAATGATAATATTTTTAACACATTAAATTAAGTAAACTAATAAAATTTTATGTTTCTTTTTAATTTTTAATGTGGCTACTAAAACTTTTTGAATTACATATGTGGCTCATATTTGTGCTTCCCATTATGTTTCTATTGGCTTGGACTGTTACAGACTATGCAACAAATTTATAATAGTGGCTGCCTCTGGGGCGGGAGATTGAATTATCACTACCTTTTTTGTTCCAGTTAAATTTTATTTTTTGTCTGAAGTTTTGGTACCACGTACCAATTTTTTTTAATGTTAGTTCATGTCTTTTATTAACCCAAATACAATTACTTGTCTTCTGTTGAAGCAAATACAATTACCTGTCTTCTGTTGAAGCAATAGGTCAGACAACATTGCCACAATAATGTCTGTCAAAGTGGCTGGCCATAAAAACTCCAGCACACACCACATTCATCTGAAGGGCACTGCTGACGAAGGCAACTGACTTTGCCATTCTCATCCATGTTGTAGTTCAGGACAGCCAGCTTCACCTTCTTTCTCTTAGGCTTATTCTTCTTGGGAGTGAGGTAAGACTTCTCCCTTTTCTTAGCACCACCACGAAGTCTCAACACAAGATGAATGTTGAATGTTGTAGTCAGACAAAGTACGTCCGTCTTCCAGTTGCTTGCCAGCAAAGACCAGTCTTTGCTGATCAGGAGGAATTCCTTCCTTATCCTGGATCTTGGCCTTTACATTTTCTGTTGTATCTGAGGGCTCGACCTCCAGAGTGATGGTCTTCCCGTGAGGGTTTTCACGAAAATCTGCATCTTGGCGGCGACTCCACCACCGATGGCGGATCGGAAAGGAAGAGCGCAGCGCAGGCCCACACGGTTCCTGGGGCCACAGCAGCCCATGTACCAATTTTTAAAAATCATTTAACATGTTGCCCTGGCCGGGTGGCTAAGTTGTTGGAGTGGCGTCCTGGACACCAAAAGGTTGCAGGTTCAGTCCCCAGTCAAGGCACATACAGGAGGCAACCGACAGATGTTTCTCTCTCACTGATGTTTCTCTCTCTCCCCCTTCCTCTCTCTATAAAACTCAAAAATAATAATTTAAAAAGAAAACATATCCTCAGATGAGGATTTAAAAAAACCCACAAAAACCATTTAACATGTCACAATCCATGACCCCCCCCCAAAAAAGATACCAGAAAAATTAGTCCCACAAAGATGCTGTTTGTTAACAGGCTTGGAGAAGCAGGATTTTACGAGCATGTGGTAATTTTTCCTCCTCTCTGGCAGTGCTCCGGGGTCACACCACACCCCTTAACCAAGCCCAGTGCTTGATGCGTACAGTCCGATGCCAGGTCATTCTTTTCCATGGGAAGACAGAGCTTTCAGCCTGGAAATGTGGCTGGATGGGAGGAGTTGATCCTCTGACTATGATGTTTGCAATTGCTTCTTTTTTTATTTTAATCCTCACCAGAGGACATATTCACTAATCTTTTTAGAGAGAGAGGAAGTGGGGTGGGGAAGAGATAGAAACATCAATGGATTGGCTGCCTTCCATACATGCCCCAACGGAGCATCGAACCTGAACCTCAGTATATGCCCTGCCCTGCAATTGAACCTGAAATCTTTTGGTGTACAGGACAATGCTCCAGCCAACTGAGCCACCCCCCAGGGCTGCAATGGCTTTTCTTTTCTTTTTTTAAAAAATATGTTTTTATTGATTTCAGAGCGGAAGGGAGAGGGAGAGAGAGATAGAAACATCAAAGATGAGAGGGAATCATTGATAGGCTGTCTCCTGCACGCCCCCTACTGGGGATTGAGCCTGCAACCCAGGCAGGTGCCCTTGACCGGAATCGAACCCAGGACCTTCAGTCCACAGGCCAATGCTCTATTCACTGAGCCAAACCTGCTAGGGCTGCAATTTCTTTTAGCTTATTTTTATTGACGAGGTGTGTTTTTTAACACATCTAATTGGCAAAAGGAGATTCAGGAAGATACACAGAGCTGCTGTGTGGGATGCTCTGGAGTGACCTCTCTGTGGTCCTGGCCCCTCTCCACTGGCCCAGAGGTGACGGGACTGTGGGATCTCAGGGACGGGAATATAACGGCCCTCTCCCCGCCTACTCCCACCACCTCTGCACACCCTGTAGAAGCAATGTGTGGGTAACCCCTGCTGGGCTGATTTTGATCATGAAACCCTCAGGGCAGTTTTATTTCTGGTCTTTTTTGGTGGGAGACCAACCCCCAGGCAGTCACGGCCTTGAATCTTGGAGGTTCGGAGCTGGACTCTTGACCTGAAACTTCAGCCTTCCTGCCCAGCACACAGCATAGCTCCCGGCACAGCACAGGAGCGAGGCAAAATGTTGAGAGAAGGGTCACCATCCCCTCCCAGGTCACCCCTCTGAGGTGGGACTGGGTCTTCCCATCCCCTTCCTCTACACCTCTGTTCTCTGGCAGGCCCCTGGGAACCCCCACTGCCAGCCCTCCCTTTTGCAGCCAAGGTCGGGTGGTTGGAACTGCAGGGGAAGGGGGAAGGCTGCAGCTCCTGCCTGCCAGGGGCCCGCCCCTCCCAGCCGAAGACCTCCTCTTCCCTGGGAAGACAGGATGCAAACGCGGCTTGTCGCCCACTTGATTTTGGGTACAGCCTTCCTGCCTCATCCAGGACAGCGGGCTCGCTGGAAGGTGACTAGATAATTAGAAGCTGCTCAGTTTAAACTAGTGACAAGTTCCGCCTCCCAGATGATCAAAGAGACACCAATTAAACAGTGTGATGCCCATTGGCACCACATTAGTCAAACCACCAACGGACGGGAGATACTTCCATAACTGGGTTTTGAGGTCACCGACACCCTCGCCACCAGAACCCGTGGCAAGACCACCCATCAGAGCCTCCTCTGGTGCAGCCAGAGAAAACTGGGCCCCTTGGGGTCACCTCTAACCTGGACCCCCACCCCCGGAAGCGCCCATCCGTTACTCGTCGGTCCCCACCGCGGGTCCACCTCCTACGCTGGGGGCCCCTGGAGGGAGTTGGGCTCCGGAGGCGCCCGTCTCGGGGCGGGGAAGCTGCGCGGGCAGAGATGCCAGGGGAGAAGCTCGGCTCCACCAGCTGCCCGGCTGGGCGGCTTTGAATGCGCTCATGAACTTCACACCGCGGTGTCCCCATCCGTAAGGCGGCGAACACAGCCTCGCAGAGCCCGCCCCTGCGTCCGCCGACTCCGGGGACGGCACCCCTCACTGCCTAGCGGTGCTCGTAAATGACATCAAACCGCGGGGGTCCCTCCTGAGGCTCCCCCTGGGGCCCGCTCCGCTCGGGGTCACTCCAAACCACATCCCGAGAAACGGGACCTGGGAAGCCAGGATGCTCAGGCCCTGGGACCTCCGGGTGGGGTGCGGGGGTGGGGCCTGGGAGGAACCCCAATTCCTCCGCTGCCACCGAAGCCTGAAACTGAGCGGGCCGGGCGGGTCTCGCCTCCGCGCCTTTCCCCCGCGGGTCCCGCCCTCCGGCCCGCCCTCCTCTAGCCCGCGCCCGGATTGGCGGCGTCGGCCGGCGCGGCCGCTGTTATTTTTCGAATATATAAGGAGCAGAGGTGGCAGCGGCGGCAGAGGCTTCCCGCACGGGTGGCTGATCCCCGCGCCCCTCCGCCCCTCCCAGCCCTCCCCGCTTCCCTCTCCTCCCTCGCCTCCCTCGCTCCGGCCCCGTTTTCCTCCCTCCCCCCCGCCTCCACCCCAGGCCCGCTCCCCACCTGGTCCGGGCCAGCTGTGCCCGGCGTGGGTGGGTGTCCCGCGATGGAGCTGCTGCAGCCGGACCCCGCCGCACCGAGCCCCGCTCTCAGCCCCGCCGGCGTGCGCGGGGGCGCCGAGCGTCCGAGCCACCTCCCGGGCCTCCGGCGGGGAGCTCAGGGCCTCTTGGGGACCCCGGAGCGCGCGGCCACTTTCTCGCCGGTCGCCACCCTCACCCAGACCATGCACGACCTCGCTGGACTCGGCAGGTAGGGCGCCCCAAGGAAGCCGGGTGTGGGGTGAGAGGTCGGCACTAGGGTGTTGGTCCCGGGCCTCCTGGGGAACCCCCCATGGGATCCGAATCCGAGAGGCGAGTAAGGAGGTATCCCGGGGAGAGCCTGCTTTGGGGACCCGGGACAAGGGCGGTGAGGCCGGGACTGTGCGGCTTACACTCTAGGTGACCTGTTCTTATTCGGCACCAGACTCTGAAGATCCTCTTTTCCCCTCCTCCTCCTCCTCCTTCTCCCTCAACGTGCCTCCGTCATGCTGCCTCCCTATTGCCCCTGTCGCCACCATTTTGCCCCAGGCAGGGGATGGTGAGCCTGGAGGGGAACTAGAAGGCAGAGCAATCCAGTTCTCCTAGGTCCCTTGCCCCTGCTCCCTCTACCCCTAGTTCTTTCCTGGGGGTTAAAGGGTTAAACACTGGTCCTGCTCCCTGAGTTACCTGCAGGGTCCGGGCTGGGTTGTCCTCCCAGCGACAGAACCCCAAGTCTTGGCTCCCCCTTTAGGAAGGCCTGTGGATGGGTAGGAGCCTAAAGGCTCTGGAGCAGTGGTTCTCAACCTTCCTAATGCAGTTCCTCATGTTGTGGTGACCCCCAACCATAAAATTATTTTCGTTGCTACTTCATAACTGTAATGTTGCTACTGTTATGAATCGTAATGTAAATATCTGAGATGCAGGATGTATTTTCAGGGGTCGAGACCCACAGGTTGAGAACCGCTGCCTGGAGGCTGCTCTACTGCCCCACCCCCAGGATGATCCCCAGCCCAGCTCCTTCCTCTTGTCTTGGGCTCACCTCCCCCTGTACCCAGGAGGATCTTTCTTAAACCAACCAAGGAAGAGAAGACACTTAGGGCCTCTGTAGGAGCCTGCCTACAGAGAAGAGGGCCGGTTTTCCATGCCATCGCCTACCTTGGGGCAGTGCAGAAGCTGGATGGGCCCTTCAGAAGTGGGTGGCTGGTGGGAACATGGGCCAGCCAGCCCTTGAACCCCCCATTTACCTTTCTACTTCCCTGGGTCCCTGCTCCCTTCCCAGGGAGGCCCCAAAGAGTCAGGTAGGCAGCCTGCACACATGCCTATCCCTGTCCCCGCGGCGAGCGTCAGCATCCTCCCTGTCGTCTGAGTCCTCTGAATCTTCTGATGCAGGTGAGGCCCAGGGGTGCCAGGGGACTTTGGGGGGCTGCCTGAGCCTCCTCATTTCCCTGCCAATCAGACTAATGTCCTTCCAACAACCGGGAGGTCTGAGAAGCCTCCCCTGCCCTCCTCTGGCGGGGCTCACCACATCCAGGCGGAACGGTGGTTGGGCGGGGCCCTCCGCAGGAGATGAGATCTCACCTATTTAAAACCAAAGCCCCTGAACCACAGCCCCACCTGGGAGGCATTAGAACGGAAAGCTGGTTATTTTATAACACTCACTTGCCCCCAGTTATAATCTTTTCCTTTTAAAAGGCTGTTATCTCTTCCAGAACAAATTATCTTAAACCAGTTCAAGAAAAATGCTTAACGAAGTTTTGATTTACAAACCATGTAGAAGTGTTTTCATAGCAAATAGGGAGTGGAGCCCTGGACAGTTGGGGGGCAGCCCGGGCTGTTGGGGTCCATGGGTGGGTTTTGCTTCATTTTTTTTAATGTGTCGAGATTTAAAACAGAAACAGTTTTTTCCCTTCTCTGAATAGGGTTGGGACATGGTGGGGGAGAGTACAGAAAATGACACTACTTTCAAACCAAAGCACTCTGTCCCCTCAGGGCTCTGCATGGATTCTCCCAGCCCCATGGACCCCCAGATGGCGGAGCAGACGTGAGTAAAGAAGAGGGATCCCCACTACAGGATTTGGCACCTGCCTTTGGGAATCCCAGCTGTAGCATACACGCATTGGGGAGGCCTGGGAGAGTGGACAGACCCCCCTGGGTCCCCATGTGGGGGGACTCATTGACCTTCCTGAGTTCTGGGATCTTGCTGGCTCCCTGTCTCGGAAAAGGGTCTGTTCTCACAGGAGCATCTGAAAGTAGGCTTGGGGCCAGGGTGGTGGGGACAGGGCCTCTGGGAGCGCAGATACTTGACGCCAGTCAGCCCTTTTGGGAACATAGGCTGGTATGTGTCCTGTTTTCCTTTCTGCCTATACATATGTGTGTGTGTGAAATACCACAATTCTAAAACATGGTCCAACTAATTCAAAACTTGTATCACTCTAGGCCACACAAAATAGTTGCTACAGGCTGGTTTGGCCCTCGGCCATCCTATCAGCAACCTCTGGCTTCAGTGACACTTGACCCTCTTGTCCACCCCTGGACCAGGCTCTTTGAGAGATGAACTGGAGAGGGAGCTAGTGGGCTAGATCCCACCCGCCTTGGTTGTGGGGCAGGAGTAGTACTTTCTAGAGCACAGCTGTCCCATCCAGCTGTTCAAGCCTCCGCAGGGAGAGCAGCTGCCAGGTATTAGTGAGAACAGCTGGGCATCCCCCGCCTGGGCTGGGGGACTATGGCTTTGAGTTTAGGGCAGTGGCTGTTTTTCCTCCCACGGCCTTTGATCAGACTAGGCTGGGCTACAGGGTTTGTTCACAAACAGGAAACGAGAAGAGAATTGGGCGGAGGGCCTGCAGGTTAGGTTTTGGTGGCAACGAGCTGTCCCTGCTTTACCCCAAGGCTCAGGTGCAGATTGGAGACCAAGCCTATGAAATTGGTCATCCCTGATGCCAGGTTGTCTGGGCACAGCCACCTGCCTACACCTTGGGGCCCAACCCCCTGGCATTTTAGTCCTCAATGCCCGCCCCCGCTGCACCTGCTTTGACGGTTACAGTTTCTCAGAAAGAAGCGTATGTGTGTGTGAGTGTGAGTGTACGCATAGATGCACAAAGCTCTGCATGGCAGGTGGTCTCTGGTAACATAGCTAGAGGGGGTGGGGCCTATCTACAGAAGCTTGTGCTCCAGCCTCAAAAGGAACATCTGTTGGAATTCCTTGCCTGCTGGCCTCTCCTCAGGCAGGAGGAGGGGGTGGGACAGGGGCTGGGTCCTGAAAAATTCCACAGGAGGGAGAAGAGGGTGTAACCCTACACGTTTGTCACTAGGGGGTCTGGCATGGCAAACTGGCTGATCCAAGGGCACACTAAACCAGGCCGCTGTCCTGGGGGGAGCCCAGAGAGCCCCACACAAGGGGAGGGAAGCCCAGCCTTGCTGGCATCCAGGCCCTGGAGACACCCACATTGTCGGCCAAGGCCTGTCATCATGGGATGGATGAATGCCTTTCCTGGCGGCCATATGGCCCCGCTGAGGTGATTTGCATACAGGTGGAAGGCCTGTGGGTAGGCTGGCATGACCGTTGTCTGGGTAACGCTCAGCCACCTTTTGACCTACCCCAGCTGTCTCCATTGCTGCCATTCTCTGGGCCCTCTTCCATTCAGGGAGCCTTTAAAATCCCAGGCTGACTCTCATCTTCCCCCCTCCTCAATAGCTGGGTCCCCAGATAGTTGACATTCTTCCTACTTCCCCTTTCCACTGTCCTTAGCCCTGGTCCTCAGGTCTTGTGGACTGGGGACCTGTTGCTGGAGGTGGGTGTTGGGCTGTAGTGGGAGGTGGGCTGCATGGAACCCTTCTCTCTCCTAGGTTTGAGCAGGCCATCCAGGCAGCTAGCCGGTTCGTTCGAAGGTAAGTGCTTGGGCTTCCCCTTACAGGCTCCGGTGGTCTACCCACCATAGGCTACCTCTGCCCCCATTGGCAGGGGCAGGGTGCTCAGGGCTCAGGTGGAGGGGCACCCTGCATGCTCGCCACAACGGTCCCAGACTCTCCAGCCCTGACGTGTCCCTGTTTCCTTCTGCAGCAAGCAGTTCCCCATCCGACGCTTCCAGTCCTTGCCGGTGAGTGCCCTCCGAGGCAGGGCAGGAGGGTTCTAAGGCCCAACTCCTGGTCTGGCCATGGGAGGTGGAGTTTGGGAGGTGAATGGGTGAGCAGGGGCATTCAGGGGAGGGATGGGAGGAGGTAGGGCCTGGGCTGGTGCCAGAGAAAGGTAACCTTCAGTACCTGCTGCCCCCCCTGGCTCCCCAGGTGAGGCTTCTGGCCCACAGCCCTGTGCTGCGGAACATCACCAATGCCCGAGCGCCTAGCAGCTGGAAGAAGAGCGAGGCGCGTGACCAAACTGCCCACAGCTCTGAGGAGGATAAGGAGAATGTGCGCTTCCGGCAGGCCAGAGTGGGACCACTCCAGGGAGAGAGAGGGGCATGCTGGGTGGTGCTCTGGCATGTGATGACGCCACCTCCCCCCGCCCACAGGATGGGTTTGTCTTCAAGATGCCATGGAAGCCCACACATCCCAACCACGCCCATGCTCTGGCTGAGTGGGCCAACCGCAGAGAAGCCTTTGCCCAGAGGCCCAGCTCGGCCCCCGACTTGATGGTACATAGGGAGAGCTGACCCTTGCAGGGCAGGCGCACAGGGCAGGTGCCCCCGAAGGCAGCCTGGGGATGGGACGGTGATTGAGCCTGAGGCAGGGGAACCTTTTATCAGAAGGAGAGGGCTGGGGACTGCCTTGGGTCCCCACCACTGAGTAGCCTGCATCTGTTTGTCACCCGTACAAGTGCCTCACCCCTGAGCGGAAGATGGAAGTAGAGGAGCTGAGTCCCCTGGCCCAGCGCTTCCCCCTGACCCCCACCACGGGAGTTCCTGACGAAGATGATGGGTTTGTGGACATCCTGGAGGATGACTTAGAGGTAGGCAGCCTTGCTCCATCAGGCCCCTTACATCTCCCCCCCCCTGGGATGTCCCAGAGGAGAGCTCTGAGCTCCTGCAGCAAGACTATGACCGCATCCCAATGTCAGAAGAATCTGAGGTAACTGAGTCACAGCCTGACCTCTGGCCAATCAGAGAAGAGCAGGTGGCTGGTGCTGCAGTGAGGGGAGGATGGGCAGGGCAGAGGGAATGCGCCCCTGCACGGCTTCTCATGGGTTCTGTGCAAGCCCGAGCAGTGAAGGGTCCCTGCCCTCCTGGTTCTGGGGGGTTGCCCAGTGTGGAGGTGCTGGCAAGGCCAGAGAAGGCTGCGCTGGGGGACTGGGGCCTGAGGGATTTGGCCTGTGCCTGTTGGTGTGACCCATATCCTTGTTGATTTGGCTTCAGGACGCTGATTCAGTTCCCCCAGGCATGGAGAGCCTCATTAGCGCCCCACTGGTCAAGACTTTGGAAAAGGAGGAGGAGCAGGTGAGCTTCTGGGGTGGCCCCCGACCCTCCAGGTGGGCTTGGGGGAAAGCAGGAGCTGGGCACTCTGACCCCCGACCCACTGCCCTGGCCAGGACTTCATCATGTACAGCAAGTGCCGGCGGCTCTTCCGCTCTCCGTCCATGCCCTGCGGTGTGATCCGGCCCGTCCTCAAGAGACTAGAGCGACCCCAGGACAGGGACCTGCCCATACAGAACAAGCGGAGGAAAAGTGTGACCCCTCTGGAGGAGCAGCAGGAGGCCGAGGAACCTGTGAGAGCCCTCCTGCTGGGGTGGGGCTGCCACCTGCCCAGTCTACCCTGCAAGCCCTTCTCAGCCAGGGTGCAGGCAAGGGGGGTACCAGCCAGACGGGGCCTGGAGGGGCAGCTTCCCCCCATGATCTTGGCTGCCATCTATCTCACAGAAAGCCCGGGTCCTTCGCTCCAAGTCCTTGTGTCACGACGAGATTGAGAACATCCTGGACAGTGACCACCGTGAACTGATTGGGGATTACTCTAAGGTACCAGCTGGCAAGACCCTCAGGCTCCACCCCTTGCCAACTGTAGCCCCCTAGCCCAGCAGCTGCTTCAGTGCCACCCTCTCTCACCAGAGGCCCCTTTGCTCTGTCCTTTGCATACTATCGTCCTTTGTCCTTTACTCTCACCTGGACTCTACTCGGTCTCCTGACTCTATCTCACGTGTGTCCACGCATCAGTGATGTCTCCACCTTGGAAAACATTTCCAAACGGACATCTAGCTTGACCCTCCTCGGGCCTCATTCCCGGGCTTGGCAGAACTGGAGGTAGAGGCAGGAGTCCATCGCTTCTGCTTCCCTTCATTTCCCCTTGGAAGGTTGTTCCTGGGGCATCAGACCCAAAAGGCTCCTCTCGGTTGCTATGGGAATCAGAGCTGAATTTGAAGGTCGAATCAGGTGTGGTCTCTTGGGCTTGTGTCACGACGAGATTGAGAACATCCTGGACAGTGACCACCGTGGACAGTTCCTGCTCCTCATCTTACCCATTTCACCTTCTTCCTCTTCTCTTTCTCAAGCTCTCTCTCTCTCCCCTTCATGCAGGCCTTCCTCCTACAGACTGTGGATGGGAAGCACCAAGACCTTAAGTACATCTCACCAGAAACGGTATGTGCAGATGAGCTGTCCGTCTGTTAACCTTCGCTGAGAACAGGCTGCAAGCACTGGGTAGGGTAGGGTTAGGAGCCAGCCCCTGGCCTGCTGGAACCCATCTCTGTGGCCTCCACAGATGGTGGCCCTGCTGATGGGCAAGTTCAGCAATATCGTGGAGAGGTTTGTGATTGTGGACTGCAGATACCCCTACGAGTATGAAGGCGGGCACATCAAGGTGAGGCAGGGTGACCAGAGAGGTGCTGAAGACCCACCAGATCTATCCTTCATCTGTGGGGGCACCCTCTTGTGGGGAAGGGTCCTGCCCAGCAAGAGGTGGGGGTCACCCTTTTGAAAGATGGGAACTGCCTGGGGGCGGGGTCTGCCAGCCAGGCCCAGGGCAGTGGCCTGACCTCCAGCTACTCTGCAGACGGCTGTGAACCTGCCCCTGGAACAGGACGCGGAGATGTTCCTGCTGCAGAGCCCCATCACACCCTGTAGCCTGGACAAGAGAATCATCCTCATTTTCCACTGTGAATTCTCATCTGAGCGTGGGCCCCGCATGTGAGTCCCGGCTCCACCCAAGCGTGTGGGTGCTGGCGCTGTCCTATGGCCAAGAGCCTGAGCCCAGCCCCTCCTTGGCTTGGGCCTCTTGGCTCATCTGGCCGCCTGAAGCAGACCTCATCCCTGCTTCCTTGTGCATGGCACCCTCCCCCTGTCTCCCTCCTGCAGTCCTTCCCATCAATCCTCACCCTCTACCCATTGTCACCCCCTCCCCCAAATCTGATTCCAAGCCTTCAGCAGTGTCCTTAAAACCCTGTCCCAGTCCTCAGTGACACTGACCCTCCTGGTGTTCAGATGTCCTTTCCTTCCCTCACCGAGTCTTGTCCAGACCTCCTGAACAGATCTCTTGAGTTTTGGCAACTTCTCTTCGTTCTGCTCCCCCTTTCCCAGCCCAGGCCAGATAACACTAACAAAGATTCCGCAACTGCCTTCTAGAAACAGAGGCTCCCTTGGTTTTCCTTCTTCCTTCCAACTCCCAGCCTCTCCAGTGCTCAGGAGCCGGACTGACCCTAAAAGTGCCTGCTCTCGAGCCTTCCCAAGGCGCTCAAAGGAGTGGGTGCAGGGAACAGGTTCCCTGAGGTCCCCCCTACTGCGTGCCCAGCTCTGACTCCCACACCCGTTGGTCCCAGGTGCCGTTTCATCAGGGAGCGAGATCGAACCATCAATGACTACCCCAGCCTCTACTATCCTGAGATGTACATCCTCAAAGGCGGCTACAAGGAGTTCTTCCCGCAGCACCCGGTACCGCAGGCAGAGATGGCCACAGCCTCTGGGGGAGGGTTGGACTGCAGGGAAAGGGCTTGGCCAGGCAACACCCTAAGAGAAGGGAGGACTGCCCCCCCAATTTCCCATTCCCCCATATTGATTGCCCTCTCCCATCCTGCCCTAGACCTTTCTGTGAACCCCAAGACTATCGGCCCATGAACCACGAGGCCTTCAAGGACAGCTGAGGACCTTCCGCCTCAAGACGCGCAGCTGGGCCTGGGGAGCGGAGCCGGAGGGAGCTCTGCAGCCGCCTGCAGGACCAGTGAAAGGCCAGCCACGGACTCACCTATCTTCATTGCCTCGAGTGGCCTGGGCACCACCTACCCAGAGGCCTGTAATAGTGAGGATCTGCTGGAGGCCCCAGGACAGTGAGGGTGTCCTGTCCATGCGCCCCAGCCCTGATCCCCTTGTCTCACTCCAACCATACTCCATACCCTGGTGCCACCCCTCTACCCACACCCCAGCTCCTAGAAGAACCCAGCCTGTTGACAGTGAAACTGGATTATGTCCAGCTCAAAGGAAGTATTTTGTGTCCAACAGGAATCTTTTGCTTTTTTTCTTCCTTGTTTGGGTTAACCCTTTGTCTCCCTGTGTCCAGAAAAGTCCCCTTTTTTCCTAGAGGCTTTGTTTGTATGTTTGAGGCTGAGGGAAGCCACAGCCCCAAGATGGGCCAGAGCCGCGCTCCTCCCTGCCCTAGGAGTAGCACCATGCCCTGGCCCTCAGTAGCACTCCTACGTGTGTCTGCGTGTTCCTGCTTCCTCATTCCCTCTTTCCTGTCCCTCCTTACGTACACCTCCAGCACAAACATAAGCTCTTACTCTTCCTGTTTCAGTGTTACCTGCATGCCTGACTTGTCTGTCTGATTTTTTTGCCCATCTCAGGTCATTCACAGGTGGTCAAGCGGTCACCTGAAGGGAGGGCTGCCCCACCCAAAGTTACCCATTAGGCTCTCCCGGTCCAGTTGGGGTTATGGACTCAAACCTTAATTACCCACTTGGCCTGTCTTCTGTTGCCTCAGAAAGGGATGTTATACTTGGGGGCCCCTGGGTGAGGGCTAAGGCCTGCGTCCTTACCCTCACTGGAAGCCCAGCCCCCACTGCTGTGAACCCTGGGGGCCTGACTTGTGAGAACTTGCTGCTGTCTTGTCATGAATGAACAGACGGATGGACAAACGGATGGATGATGAAGGGATGGAGAGCTGTAGATGCACAACGCCTCGCACACAAACCACTGGGTGGAAGCATTTCCGTGAGCGTGACAGCCTTTGGCAGGAGTATATATGTGTCTGTCTGGACAAAATCTTTACACTTTAAGGTTTGAAAATATTCAAGAGGAAATGTCGAGGTGGCAGCTAAACCAAGGTCAGAACCACCTCTGACTTTTTAATCTCAGGATGTGGGAAGGGCTGTGCTTGAAGGTCCTGATGAGTCATCTGTTAGGGCCTTGTTTCAATAAAGCACTGAACAAGTTGAGCAACCAGCATTGTGTTCTGTGGAGCCCTTGACAAGACCACAGCAGATGCAGAGGGTGGGATAGGGCAGGGGCAGATGGGCAGGTTGGGGCTGGAAGACTCCTGGGGAGGCTACCTCATGCTGTCTTCCCAAGTCTTCTTTTTTTTTAAAATATATTTTATTGATTTTTTACAGAGAGGAAGGGAGAGGGATAGAGAGTTAGAAACATCGATGAAAGAGAAACATCAACCAGCTGTCTCCTTCACACCCCCTACCGGGGGTGTGCCCACAACCAAGGCACGTGCCCTTGACCTGAATCGACCCTGGGACCTTTCAGGGCAGATTGGGGCTGGAAGACTGCTGGGGAGGCTACCTCATGCTGTCTTCCCAAGTCTTGCTGAGACTTTTCCCCTCATCTGGCTACTCAGGCAGCCTTCCTAAACTTTGAACCAAGAAGGCAAGAGTAAACCCATCTAGAACTCATTGCGCACCACCTTCATTGCTCCCCTCTGACAAATGCTCCATACCTTGCTCTTCACAGTTCCTTGCCTTTGCATCTGTTGCACCACCCTCAGAAAGGCTCTCCCTTATCTGTTATTCCTCTTGTAAGACTCAATTTCAATTGTCACTCTCAGAAGTCTACCAACTTACCAATCCAATGCCCTGTCAGGGAAATGGATTTCCTCAGTATCCCCAGTGCCCAACAGCTTCCACCACCTAGGACAGTGGTTCTCAACCTTCCTAATGCCGCGACCCTTTAATACAGTTCCTCATGTTGTGGTGACCCCTAATTTCATTGTTACAAATTGAACATAATTAAAGCATAGTGATTAATCACAAAAACAATATGTAATTATATATGTGTTTTCCGATGGTCTTAGGCGACCCCTGTGAAAGGGTCTTTGGACCCCCAAAGGGGTCCTGACCCACAGGTTGAGAACCGCTGACCTAGGAGATGTTGAGTTCAAGATCAGCAAATGGGAAACCACCAATCTGGTAGAATTGGTCCCAGGCCCAAACCTGGTGTCTCAGGAAATCCTCTGGGAATACCACTGCTCTGTTAACTACCCCCCACCCCCACCCCCACCCCCACCAATGTGAGCTGTTGGTAATTGCAGGGACTCCTTTGCAAATGTACACATAAGATGCTGTCTGGTACAGAGTACACACAGGCAGGAGTCATTACCACTTTCTGTGGAAGTTCATCTACCTTCCGAAGTAGGTGGTGGGATGATTATTCACTCCGTTTTGCAGATGGGGAAGTGGAGGCTATTTCTAGCAATTAGAAGGGACTCCAGGTTCCAAGGCTGAGTCTAAAGGACACTTGCCCTGTCTTCAGCTTGACCTCCAAGTTTGTTATACCTAAAGGATTGGTTTTTACTCCTGCTCCAGAGCCCCCTGCAAGGACACAACCTGTGTGTGTATGTAGGTACCTGGGGACTGGGCCTCTGCTCAGGGAGTGTGGGGCCCTGAAGACTCCAGAACACACACAAAACACCCTACCCCCTACCCCCGCCCCATCCACCAAGCAGGCAGCTGACACAAAGGCCAACATTTCTTTGGGTGAGGGAGCTTGCCCCAGAAACGGAGAAACAGCTGTGCAGGCCCCCGAGTAAAAGAGTGAGCCCTGAGCATTATCCTGCTGAGAACTGTCTGCCCCACCCTAAGTGCTCAGATGGTCTCCTGACTCCCCCTATCTGGTTGCCCAGAGAGGGCACTCACTTGCCCCAGGTCACACAGCAGATATACTCAAAGTAGGCATTCCAGCAATCCAGGACTGTCTCACTCCTCACTTCCTGCCTTGGTCCCAGAGCAGCCAGGTGGGTGGGGCTGGGCTGCCTGGCTTCAGCTCTCAGTGTACTCTTCCCACTCCATCCGCCTGGATCAGTCCACATGGGGAGGAGGGAGCTGCGGGCACTGCGTGTCTAACAAAGCCCAGGCTGTGTGCCAGGTGCTGACACGCACAGCCATGTCTGCCCTCATAACCCACCATCAGAGTCATAACCGCAGTCACGGGGCACGCAGTCTGCTCCAGACACTTTTATATGTTATCTCCCGCTCACCAGGGCAGTTTTCAGTTCATTTTGCAGGGGAAACAGAAGAGGAGGGCAGGGAGGGGATTGGGGGCAAGCCAGGAGACAAAACTTCCACAAGAGGAGGCCCTGGTGCAGGCCTGAGCCTGGGGGAGGGGTTCCCCTTTCCAAATCAGGCCAGGGTCCCTTCTGACTCTGGGAAGTTCAAGGGATGAAGCAGAGGTGCCCAATCCCCCAACCCTCCAGCAAGAGAAGCTTTAACTGTCTTCCTGGATGCTCATAAAGGGAAGAGGATCAGACAAGGAAGTGGTTTAAATCCTGGGCTGCCGGCCAATTTTAAAGGTTGTTTTGCTTGGGCCAGGGTGGGGCAGGAATTCTAGTCTGCAAGGAACCATGTGCGGCTGGCTCACGTGGTTAAAGAGCTGCATGCGGTTGGGCGCAAGTGCGAATCTGGCCTGTGCCAGGCCTAGCCACGTCAGTGGGCAGGCCCAGGGTCTGGGCATCATCGGACTTGCTCTCCAGGTAACTTGCAATGACAATTTTAAAAAATAATGTTTTCAGCGCGCTCTCCCTCTGGGGAACTTGCCTGTGCCATTCGTGTCCCTTCTCTCCTTCCCCCACAGGCATGCGTCTCCTAAACTCTAAGGCAGTGGTCGGCAAACTGCGGCTCGGCAAACCGCGGCTCTAAGGGATACAGGGGAGCCGTGGGCAGTGGGAGCTGGACCTGGGCTAATCTCTGAACCTGTCTCCAAGACTCCCTTTTCTCTGACTTCCCTATGAGCTAAAGCAGCCCAGCCTCGGCTCTGCTGTTGCTTCTTCTATGCTAAGCCCTTCCTTGTTTCACTGTCCCCAGCTTTAATAAACCTCATACTAAAAAATAATAATAATAAGATTAAAATAATGTTGTTTTTTTAAATTGATTTTAGAGAGAAGGGAAGAGAACAGGAGAGAGAGAGAAACATCAATGTGAAAGAGAAACATCCATCAGCTGCTTCCTGCATCCTTTCCTGGGGATTCAGACAGGAACCCAGGCATTTGCCCTTCCCAGGAATAGAACCCAGCACCTTCTTTTTTTTTTTTTTTTAATATATTTTATTGATTTTTTACAGAGAGGAAGGGAGAGGGATAGAGAGTTAGAAACATCGATGAGAGAGAAACATCGATCAGTTGCTTCCTGCACACCTCCTACTGGGGATGTGCCCGCAACCCAGGTACATGCCCTTGACCAGAATCGAACCCAGGACCCTTCAGTCCACAGGCCGACGCTCTATCCACTGAACCAAACCAGTCAGGGTGGAACCCAGAACCTTCTGATGCATGGGACGACGCACAACCAACTTAGCCACACCCACACTGGCCAGGACAAAATAATGTTTTTTTCGTGTGTGTGTGTGTGTGTGTGTGTGTGTTCAGTTGAATAGTCAACATTTCCTCGAGGGCACACATGGTAAGCATAGAGCAGAGACCTGAAGAACCAGCACACAGCTCAAGGTCCAGGAGTGTCTCCAATCCCACATTTCTTCATGGTCCCTCCCAGTTACCTAAACTCTGAGGTCACCACTATTCTGACCGCTATCACAGATTAGTTTCACCTGTTCCAGAGCTTCATCTATGTGAAATCTTAGAGCTCTTACTCTTTTGTGTCTGGCTTCTTTCAGCATAATAATTTCGAGACCCATCCATGTTTCCTTTAGCAGTACTTTATTCCTCACTGTGTAATATTCCATTATATGAATATACTCCTAAATTGAATTATTCATTATACTTTTCTTTTATGACTTTTAAATTAAAAAATTAAGGTATAGCACTAGCTGGGTAGCTCAGTTGGTAAGAGTGGCGTCCCAATATTTCAAGGTTGCGGGTTTAATCCCTGGTCAGGGCACATACAAGAATCAACCAATGAATGCATACATACGTGGAACAACATACGGATGTTTCTCTCTCTTTCTCTCTCCCTCTCTCTCTAAAATAAATCAATAATTTTTTAAAAATATTTTATTGATTTCAGAGAGGAAGGGAGAGGGAGAGATAGAAACATCAATGATGAGAGAGAACCATTGATTGGCTGCCTCCTGCATGCCCCCTACTGGGGATCGAGCCTGCAACCTGGGCATGTGCCCTGACCGGGAATCAAACTGTGACCTCCTGGTACATAGGTCAATGTTCAACCACTGAGCCATGCCGGCCAGACAGTAAATTTTCTTTTTTATTAAGATATGATTTATATGCAGTCAAATTCACCCTTTTGAGCGTACCGTTCTATGAGTTCTGACTAATGCACACCGTTGTGTAACCTCCACCGCAATCAAAATATACAGTGGGGCCTTGACTTACGAGTTTAATTCGTTCCGTGTTGGAGTTCGTTAAGGAGCTTGTTAACTCAAATTACTCTGTCAACTCAAAGCAAAAAATCGGTGGAGAGATGGCTCCTATTTCGGAAAAACTCGTTAGTCGGGACACTCGTAAGTCAAGGCCCCACTGTACTAGTTGGTCATTTTCATTCTGCCCTCCATGGATTATTTGGGACTATTTCAATTGTAGTGAAAATATACCCAGGAGTGGAATTGCTGGGTTATAGTGTGTATGTTCAGCTGTAGTATTTTCCACACAGTTCTCCAGGGTTACTATGCCAACTTATTTCCCACCTGCAGTGTCTGAGAGTTCTGTTGCTTCACATTCTCATCAGAATTGATCACTTCTAATCTTTCTTTCTTTACCAGAGAATTTAATTGTTGCATATGGCAAAGAGCTCTGCTGTCAAGGCTGACTCTATGAGCCACGGCATGGCAGTAGTGGGCTGGTGCTTACAGACCCAGCCTGTTTTCTGACTCTCCTATATTGAAATGTTAGCCTTGCTTTTTTTTTTTTTTTTTTCTCATCAGAGTCTTTTAAAAAGTTACAGTGACTCTGGAGTTAATTGGCTGTGTGTCACTGGCTTGTATCCATCCACTGACAGCTCACAACCATCTAGAAAACTTGTCATTTCTAAAGAAGT